TGAAAAGCTGCCCGACAGAAAAGCCCCTGGGGGTGTTGGCCAAGGGCCAACTCAACACAAGCCAGCAGAGTGTCCAGTTGTCCAAGAGGGCCAAGGGCACCCTGGCTTGTCTGAGGAGTGGTGTGGCCAGCAGGAGCAGGGCAGGGACCGTGCCCCTGTGCCGGGCACTGGGGAGGCCACCCCTCGAATGCTGGGGTCAGGGTTGGGCCCCTCACTACAAGAAACATGTTGCCTCCTGAAAAGAGGCTGTAGCGAGGTGGAGGTCAACATTTTTCCCTGGTAATGAGCAATGAGATGAGGGGAAACGGCCTCAAGTTGTGCCAGGGCAGGGTGAGGTTGGACATTGGGAACAATTCCTTCCCCTTGGGGCTGTCAGGCACTGGGAGGAGCTGCCCAGGGAAGGGGTCGAGTCCCCACCCCTGGGGGGATTTAAAAACTGGGCAGGGTGCTGAGGGCCAGGGTTTAGTGGTGGGATGGCAGGGTTAGGGGAACGGTTGGGCTTGTTGAGCTTAAAGGTCTTTTCCAACCCGAAAGATTCTATGATTCTATGATTTTACAAAAGAGCTCCTCAGTGGCAGCTAGGAGGGATTGCTCCTCAGCCTGTAGTAATTAAAGATTTCTAAAAATTAAACAACAAAAAAAAAAACCCACAACCCAGGAGCTATAAACCGTACTTGGATAGTGATTTGTCTGTGCAGTTCCTAAGTCGTATTTTTACATCCGCGCTCCATTGTGTCTAGGAGTTGCTTCTGTTTTCTTCCCTTGGCATTTTTCCTACCTGGAGGCTTATCACACAGATGTTGGCGCTGCCTGCTGCCAAGGCCCTGGATTTGACACGCGCTCACTTTCCTCTCCAAATTCACGCGGTTATGCCACGGCTGAACAAGCGATTGCTGCTGAAGTTCCCAGCAAGCGATTGGCAGGCTGGTAAAGGCAGCCGCAAGCGCCGCGTGGTAATAGCGTAACACCTTCCCGTATTGTCCCAGGAGTCAGATTAGTGGGTGCCCTTTCTTGACATGCCATTCCATAGGAATTGCCCTAGAAATATCATAGAACATTTTGGGTTGAAAGGGACCCTTAGAGGTCACCCAGCCCAACCCCCCCTGCAGGGAGCAGGGACACCTTGAACCACATCAGGTTGCTCACAGACCCCTCCAACCTGGCCTGGAATGTTCCCAAGGATGGAGTCTCCACCACCTCTCTGGGCAACCCCTGCCACGGTTTCTTTCCTCTGGGCCCCCTTTCAGCACGGAATGGCCGCACTCAGCTCTCCCCGCAGCCTTCTCCTCTCCAGCCTGAACACCCCCAACTCTCCCAACTCTGTCCTCATAGCAGAGGGGCTCCAGCCCCCGGATCATTTTAGTCGCCCTCCTCTGGCCCCGCTCCAACAGGTCCATGTCCTTCTTGTGCTGAGGGCTCCCGAGCTGGACGCGGGCTCCAGAGGAGGTCTCCCCAGATCAGAGTAGAGGGGCAGAATCCCCTCCCTTGACGCTGGCTACGCTTCTCTTGATGCAGCCCAGGGTAGGGTTGGGCCTTTGGGGCTGCCAGCACCCATGGCCGTCTCATGTCCAGCTTTTCACCCATCAGCACCCCCAAGTCCCTCTGGGCAGGGCTGCTCTCGATCCTTTCTTCCCCCAGCCTGGATTGATCCATGGGGTTGCCCCGATCCAGGTGCAGGAACTTGCATTTGGCCTTGTTGAACCTCATGAGGTTCACACAGGCCTACCTCTCCAGCGTGTCCAACTCATGCTGCTCCTCACCCAACCAAGCACACAATGCATGAGCAAGGGCCAACACAGATCAACCCTAGACACACTGGAGACCTTCAGCTTCCAGAGCAGGTCAGGAAGAAAAGTCACAGGTTCCAGATAATTTTGACTGCCCCTCCCCAACCCTTCTAGTTACACCTCACCTCTTCGCTTCTGCACTTGCCAGCATTGTCTGAATTTCCATCCGCGACACCGGTCACTCCGCTGAGAGAAAAATACCTGGAGGTGCTGCCCTGGAGAGGGGGATCACCAACCTCTACCTCCCTTGTCCCTTCTTTCTGCTGCGCCTATCACAGACCCAAAGAGCAGGTCCAAAGGGTCGAGACTGGCAACCAGTCCCGCTCCCTTCTCATCGGCTTCTCTTCCCCATCCTCCAGAGAGATGAATTCTTTTTGCTGCTCCTCAACAGGTAGCATGCTCATTTGCTGTGGCGTTGGTATTTGTTATCCCAGCTGACATCATTTAGTTTGTCAGGTCCTGCGGAGAGTGATTGAGCCCATGGAAATTGCTCCGGTGTTAATTACACGCGGGGTCCTCTGTGGCTGTCACTCCTAATGATGAGATGCCCCAACACGGCAGACATGCTGCTAATTGAGTGAAACATTTAAAAACTAGAGCAAAATACTTAAAAAGGAAGGGCAACCAAGAGCCCAGGTCACAGCCAAGCTCTTGTTGCCCCCTCTCTGTGTCTTTAAAGCCAGATATTAGAATCATAGAATGGTTTGGGGTTGGAAGGGACATTAAAGATTATCTGGTTCCAACACTCCTGCAGGGATTAACAGCAAACAAAAACCTCTAGCCCCAGATTTGCTGTGGCATCACGCACAGCCCTCCTCAAAATTTGGGGAGAAACTGCCTCACACCTGACGCTTGTACCCAACTTAAACCAAGATCAAGCATCCCTGCCCTGAAGCCCCACAGAATGATGAAGGGCAGAGTTGTGGAAGCCATGTCAGCCTTGGGAGCACATGGTCCCTCCCGTAAGATTCCTGTGCTGGGAAGAAGATGCAGAGAGAACTGGCCGAGGAGCATCTTTAAAGGATGCCCAGTAAAGGATCACTTTCACACATGGGGGCAAAAATGCTCATACCTAGGTGGCCTAGAAGATCCCCAAGGCAGCTGGAGATGAAGCAGGAAAAGGTCTTCGAGTTTCAGAGGGAGAAGCAAGAAAAAAGAAAGAGAAGACTCCTTACCACTCATCAATGCATGAATAACGCCACAAAGAAGCAGGCTATGCCCAGAGAAGCCAGAACACTGTCCTAACGCCATGGTGGTTCAAAAAAAAATACCCCAAAGTTTGGCAGGCTGCCAAAGTCTCATAACTCAGAGGTCTCCTACCGGATGGAAAATCCAGCAGGATGGGGGAAACAAACCCCAACAACTTGAACTTCTTGACCCACCTGCTGCATCCTCACGTCCCCACTGGCAAATTCCTTCCTAAAACTTCAGAAGTTATTAAAAAATTGCTACCAGAACCCCTAAAGTGGCTTAAAACCCCACTGTAAAACACTGGATGGAGATGGTCAGGGGAAGGTTTCTGCAGGAAGGGGGGGATGGAGGCGTGAGCCCCTTCATGCTCTACATCCTGGAATATTACACAGAATCCCAGAATGGCGGGGGTTGGAAGGGACCTCAGGAGATCACCCAGCCCAACCCCCCTGCTCAAGCAGGCTCACCCAGAGCAGGGGGCACAGGACAGCGTCCAGGCAGGGGTTGAATATCTCCAGAGAAGGAGACTCCACAGCCCCAGCCAGGGCTCAGTCACCCTCAAAGTCAAAATGTTCTTCCTCACATTCAGCTGGAACCTCTTCTGCTTCAGTTTGTGCCCATGGCCCCTTGTCCTGGTGCTGGGCACCACTGGGAAGAGTCTGTCTCCGTCCTCGTGACCCCCATCCTTGAGGTATTTGTATATTCAAGATGGAAACTAGAAGGATACAAAAGGTATTCTCCAAACGGACGAAGCCTTGGACCCAGTTCTCTTCCACATGTGCCCTGGGGACTTCTCCTCCCAGCCCACATCCACATTCCCCATGCAGTTATTAACATCGCGCATACACGGATTAGAGCCATTAGCATCTCTACGTGGAAAATGTTGACATGCGAGCACGCACCTACCTCTCATCAGGAAGGGGAAGATGCTACTCGCTGTAAATATTAGAGCCTGCCCTATTCTGGCCTCCTCAGGAGCATGAATCACGTCTCCAGATATTTTTTTTTCATACTTGGTATTATCAAGGCATGAGTCATGGGAGAGTAGTGATACGGCAACAATTCTCATTCCCCCAAACCTTCCACGGGGCCGGCTGAAATCCGTTTGGATTCCTGTAATGAAGTTATTTAGCAGATGAGTCTGCTTTGTGGCAAGCCATTATCCATATCAACAGACAAGGTATTGTCTTAAAACAAAGAAAACCCCTCAAAATAGTCTTTACATCCATAACGCGTAAAAATCCCATGGGGTGAAGTAAGGATTTGGAGAGTTTGTCATTGCTTTGACTAAAAATTCGTCCAGCGCAGTGAAGGGAAGGTTTTGTAGGTTTTTTTTTTTCCCCCTTGCTTCCACGGATTTCACTACCTCCTCCTACATTTTACACCCGTGAGAATGGGAGGCAGCTTCTCGCTACGAGAGGCCGCTTTGGCAGTTGAGCAAAAGCCCAACCACCCCGCGCACCAGGGCGGGAGGTGTGTGTGTGTGTGTGCGTGCATCCGCTCGGCATCCCACCCCTCACGCAGCCAGCCATACAGACAGACCAACACCATCCCCGCTCCACATTCGCGCTCTTCAAGTTACGTAACATGCAAATGAAGCCAAAATGCTCCATCAAGCCCACCCTGACCCAATAAAAGGTGCAGTCCAAGACCCAGCCTGTCCCTTTGAAGCCTCCAAGATGCTCTGCAGTTCTGGAGCAGAATAGAATTGTAGAATAATTTGATTTGGGTTGGAAAAGACCCTCAAGACCATGAAGTCCAACCTAAGGCAGCCATCCCACCACTAAACCGTGTCCCCAAGCACCGCATCTACCCATCTTTTAAATCCCTCCAGGGACAGTGGCCCCACTACTTCCCTGGGGAAGCCCCTTCCAATACTTGACCACCCTTTGGGTGAAGAAAATTCTCTTCATATCTGATCTAAACCTCCCCAGCACAACTTGAGGCCCCTTCCTCTTGTCCTTTTACTTGGGAAGAGAGACCAACCCCCCAGGCATCACCGGTACCAAATGAAGGTGCTTCACTGGGCTTTTACCTTTTTTTTCTTCCCCGCCCCCCCCGCCAATATCTGAAGCTCCTGCCAGTGCTTTGTAATTAACAACCAATTAAGGGACAACCCTAATTCCTCGGCTGCTCTGCCCAGATCGCAAGGGGTTGTCCATCACCGCGGGGCAGGGGGGGGAGGGGATGCTGATGCGC